AGGTTTTCTCCGAGTCCGTTTCTACACCTTTGCGCTTTTTGTCACTTGGACACTTCTTCTTTTAGAAATTGATAGTAATCTGGATAGTTATTGACCTTGGACTTATCCAGGTGATTGGAGATACAATGATAATAGCTGTGATGACTGTGATAGCTGTTCTTTGCTCTCATTCGGATACGTGTCGCAATCCAATTTCAATCAAGTCCAATCTTAGTGAATCGTAAGCAATATCAAATGGAAATACATTAATTCATTATATTTTATATCAACTGTTTTATATTCCCAGCATTGGATTCCGCACGTGGCCACAGTGCGGCAAGTGGCCAATTGGTAATGCACGTCACTGTGGCTACTTAAAGAGCCTTGTATATTTTAGCAGATAGTATCAAATTCAACTAACCACTGTATACAATAGAATAATCTGCTTTCGCCAGGAGACAATTTTCTCCCATGAAGCTTCACTTCGATTTTATGATGGACTAGTTGATATATCCCTTTAATATTGCAGGTGTTCTTCAGCTTCTAGAACGGTACTATGTTTATGATCGTTTCGAAACGTAACATTGTCTTTCTTTTTGGATGTCATACATGCCCAGGCCGTCTACTAAGGCAATATCTCCGTGCTGAAGACATGGGACCATCCAACCTGCCTGGAAAGTGTTCGTTTGTCTGTCGTTCGAGTGTCTTGGGCCTCGACCTTCTTCGTCTGTTTTTCGTGACAACTTTCACCCCGAAAGGGTATCGCCCTATGAGGACGATATGATTTATGATAATATATTTTGATCTTTAGAGGATTCTGGAATATGTATCAGGCGAAATAGCCATAGATATTGGGGTATTGTATGGATGAAAGGCATATCCCGACAATGTCTCTAATACCCTTTCTGGCTGTATTCCTAAAGCACCTTTCTTGATATCCTACTGGGTATCATGATCACTGTCTTGGCAAGTTTCTGGATACCTGCATCGGCTTAGCGGTAGACACGAGCGATAGCTCGGCTGTGAAATATCCCTTGTTCAATTAGTCTTGTTTGGAAGTATATATTGCCCAGTTTTCACCAAACACTAATACCACCACTGAGCTTCAATGTTATCGTCATCTACTTGGGGGCAATATAAGCCCAACTATTTGCATCCCCGTTTGCCAAGGTCCAACAAGTAGCGCAGAAAACCCTGCCTGGTATTTGTGGATGTCCTAGCCATGGGCTTTACCCAGCACCCGCTGCTTCCAGTCTATGTAGAGAATATCTTGTTCGATACTGGAAGACATCCTTTGCCAATTTTTAAAAAGAAAGCCTTACTAGCTACAAGTAGATTTCCGGAACAATTCTTCCGGGAGGTTGGGTTGGCTATGTATACGGGCCTGGCCGCATTCATGTGCAGTCTCGGATTGTTGGCATAGTGGGGACATACTATGTCGGTATGCCGGCAAGATGGTTGAGGAGAATTTCCCTGACATAAATAACCAGGCTCTCTTCTATCTTGCACTTGGCGCTCTCAATCTTGGAGTTGGGGTATGCGAGACGAAAGAAACGGGAGATGTTCGTGGCCCGACCCGCGATTGAGAATGTATGGAATGGAGTCTGGAATCCCGAAGATATGCGAGATGGCGTTGCACGACGATTGTACGTGGTTTAAATAAAAGCGAAATCTTGCAGATGTTCAACCAATCATTGACCCAAATAAAAATATAGGGCCGTATTATTATATATTAATAAGTTGCCAGACACAAAAAGAACCGCATCATGAAAGATATCAAGATGGCATGGGTATCGAATAAACGAGTGCGACACCTCCAAAGTATGAGCCCAACCATTGACAATAGAAGAGAAAAAGAATGTAAAAATATGTATCGGCCTCGCGGGCCCGCCACGAGAAGTATGTGCACTAATTGGCCTTCACGACAGGCCAACCGTTCTCAAAGCTGAGGACGTTCCACGCATACCTGTAGTTCGCGTTGTCGGAGACCTCAGAGTTCTGCTTGGTTGCAAGTGGGTAGTAGTGGTAGTACATGACTACACCGAGGTCCTTGTCATTGACAACACCAGGGCCACCAGGTCCAAATACCTGGCCGTGGCTGGAGAGGAGCATGGTGCCGCCGGTCTCCTTGCAGGACTTTCCGTCGGCATCAACCTATAAGATAGATGTTAGCATGGGTGGGCTTTGCGGATGGATGAGAAAATTGGGAAACGTACAAAGTCACCAAGGCCGGTCTTGGATCGGCAAACGCGAATGTGGTACTCAGCACCCTCGGCCGGGAATGTCTTTGTGTACTGGCCGGCAATACCAGCGGAGTAGAGGAGGTAGTAGTAATCGCCGTGCTTGAACTCGTACGCGCCCTCCTCGCGGTGATTGAGGGTAGCGTTCCAGGAGATTTGGTAGGGAGTTGCGCCGCCTACTTTCAGGGGAGTCTCCATCGGGACCTGGAAGATATCGCCCCAGAAGGAACCAAAGTTCATGTAGTTCTTGCCACCGATGCTGATCCAGGCGGGATCGATACGGTTGTAGTTGTCGTTTGCAGGGAGACCAATGGAGCCATGGTCTGTCCAGCTACCGGGCTCCATCGTCTTGGATGTCGCGACACCGATCTGTGAGTGCTGGGTGCCGATCTTTGACAGGACGTAGTACATATAGTACTGATCGTTCTGATAGTGGACATCGGGGGCCTACAAGGTGGATCAGGTTAATTATCAGACTTGATATTGTTTCAGGCCGTTTTCGAGTCTTCATACCCAGATATTCGTGCTGTCCACGCCATCGAGATGGATATTGGACCCATCTGGCAATGCCGAGCCAAGGTCTGTCCAGGGACCCTTCACCGACGGCGAGCTATGAGTGCTGACACCAGTGCCCGTCGAGAAGCGGTAGTACTTCCCATCAGAGACACGCTGGATCATAGCAGGGTCATGGGCCCAGCAGTTTCCTGTGCAAGGACCCCGGTTGGGGTATGCGCTGGCAACCGCAGTAAAGAGAAGCGGAATAAGACCAAACATGATGTATAGACAGAGGGAAGACGGAGGAAGTTCGAGTCGGGCTGTTAATAGAAAACGCTCTGGGAAGGAGGAATCATGTCCAATTTATGTTGATTTGGCCTACTCCATTCGCAGCTCCCAAGTTGGGCGCCCAAGTATGACCATTTCGCATATTAACAGCTGATCCAATCATCAGCTATCAACCCCTGCACATCGTATCTGGGCGATGTAAGGCGCACGTCGGTATTGAGTCCAGTCTAGCTAGAGTCAGCGCCGAAAGGGATGAGCTCATTTACCGAGCTTCAAGGAGTCCTGCTCCTGTGGGTCATCAAATTAAAAACAAGTGTTTTTTTCTGCATAAACAAAGGGCTACCTCGGTGACTACATCTACTGTACTCCGTATGGATTTTACTTTAAAATCTATGTTGTATGTGATGGCTCCCATTGGGCAAGGCGCAGTCAATACAAGTGTTTCTGCATATCCCCCACACGAGTTACACCGATGACCTTCTGACCAGAAGTCTAGAAGCTAAAGGTCTCGGCAGCAGCCTCGACAGCAGGAACGGGATAGAAGACGTGTGGTTCGCTGCAAGTGTGTGCCAGTTCCACATTCCCATCAGCAAGGGAGAGAACACTAGTGAATTCTATGCGACAGCTTTAAGAGGCCAAGTGGACTTTGTAATTTTAAATCCACCATCTATTGTTGATGTCTCCAGACAAAAGAAATTGTGGAATACATCATATCCCACTAATTTCCGTGGCTTGCTTCTTGTTTACGCCGTGTACATGATCTGCACCATGTGGACCGGCTGAGAATACTAGGCCAATCATCTTGGAAGCCCTGTGCGCGAGTTCCGACCGACAACTAGTTCAACTAGTTTTTGAGATTGAAAGAAGTAAAGAGTGTGTGTCATGTGGACTCGTCACAGCGCGGTCAACTCTCTTCAAAGCGGCAGGACTCGGTTCGCCATATCGATGGTAAATCATCGGCTAAACGGGAGACAATATTCACTTGATTTGGCCCGAAACGGTTGATTCAGCCTGCACAACGAAAACAAATTCTCCGATATAATACGTCATCTGGGCTAGGACCAGACGACCATGCTATTGAGCCTCTTTGGGCCTCGTTTGCAGCCCAAAGCCTGACGTAGGTATATTAGTTGGAGTCTTCGCAGGGTTCTCTCAAGTAATCTTACTGCCAAGAACATTCAGCTGGGCTGAGCCTCAGCCTATGCTGATTGGTCTTACCGCTATATTGGAGATCGCGGCCAAAGTGAGGCGGGGTTGACGATCTAGGGCCAAACTGGGGTCATTGGGGGTTGTCTGGTAAATCGGCATTATACTGCCGGCATAGGGCTGAGCTCTTCTAAGAATATATATCTCAGTCATCACGACAAGCGATAGGTGAAAGGGAAATACTTCACGTTTCCCACTCGTGTTTCTTTCTGTCAGACAATAGCAATCACTTGCGAGATTTATCTAATTCGTCACTGTCATATATATATCTGGTTTTCGCACATTCTTACCCATTGCTGTCAAGGTGGACTAGACATTGCGCCAGTGTTCGCATGGATATATGTATACATGTTATCGAGTGATACTTTTGCACAAGTCAATACGTCTGACGTGCACCAACGCCATGATGGGATCTAATATGTATCTATAAAATGTAAAACTTACTGCTCCTAGTTCAGGGTCGTCTTTTACCACTTAAGCCAGACTATATAAGTTAGTTATGCCCGGATACAATATACCAAAGAGCCATTATATAAAAATGTTGACGTACGATCAGCAATAGAGTGGAACTGAGTTCAATTGGAATAATCTAACAGACACATTTCTGATATTGTATGACACAAGATGATGCCGTGAGGAACAGCTGCAATCCTCAATGTTCAACATAAAACACAGCCACGCCCGCCCACATGTCATCTTTCCTTCACCCTCACCCCGTTTTCTCTGTATTGCAATATTTGGGTCGAAGACCCCCACCAAATCGTACATGGATGCCACTGGTTATGGGCAGGCTCAGCAATGACGAGCTGAACCAGGCCCTGGGCCTGGCGTGGAAGTCTGGCCTTGGCCTTGTGAATCCCAGCATTGCCAACCTTGGTCAAGTATTGGGTATTGATATTGAGGGTCGACGAATTGACCCTGTTGCGGCACGAAATAGTTTGGCTGCATTCCTTGAGGAATGGGAGTGTAGCCCTGTTGCCAAGATTCAGGCATTTGATTTTCTGCAATCTCGTACTCCTGCTGCTTTCTGACCATTTGGTTCACCATGCCCTTCAATTCCTTGACCTCCTTAAGTACCTCTCGGAGCAGTCCAGTTTGCTCAGTATTCGTGACATCGGGACTGGATTCGAGCGGAGAAAGACGACCCGTATCCATAGTGCGAAGGCGAGAATAGGGTTCTGGAGTCTTGGGGCTTATAAACTTGGGCCTCGATGCTGAAGAGATGGTCTTGACAGGGGTGTTCGGCCAAGGTCTGCCGAGATCAATGGCCTTCTTCTCCTCCCTAGCCAGCCATGAACGAAAAGAATCGACAACACCATATTTCGGGGTTGGGATCGTCTCTCCGGCGAGGATTTGTCTCCATTTGGGAAGGACTTTATCCAAAACGTCGTCTGAGAGAAGTCGATTACCTTCATCATCGGTGGCCAGGGCGACATTCCAGTAAGGAGATCGAACGGTCCAGGCAACGTAGCCGGTCACGTAAAAGACATCGGCGTGCTTTTTCATCGCGTCTTTGTCACCTCGAGTCATCACATCCCGCATGTCATAGTCAAATTGTAGGGTTCGTTTGGGGTCAATGACGAGGTAGTTATCTGCACTGTCTTCTTGAGCTTTCCGTGATGTCAGTATCGTTTACCGAGGCTCGGATTGAACAGTGTCTTTACCGTTCTCTAGCTCACAGAGATCTTCGAATGATAGCTGCTGGTCCGCCATAGACTCCAACTTCTGCAACATCCTTTCGTGTGCTTTGTTGTCCATGAGGATACGGAGTTTTACCATCCACCTCTGTCTCTCGCTCAAAGAGTCAGAGGGTTGGGGCCTCTCAAGGTGCTCCAGAATAGCAGTTGTGCCAAATGGGAGTAGAAGATGAGTTAGTAATTCTGGGATATCCGGAGAAACTGGCTTATTCTCTTTGATGCTGCCAAGCCACTGGGGAAGAAATGCAGCCAGTTCCGTTACCCTGCATATTTTGCCACCGGACAAGACCCGGGACAACAAATAGCTGACTGTGGCATCGTCGGATGCATTAACAGCAGGAGAAGATGTGGCGTTTCGCTCCATAGTGCTGTGTTTGGAGAAAGCAAAGTACCTAGAGATATGCGAGAGTCAAGAAATGTAATCAGAGAAGTTAAGGGTAAGAGACGGACAGACCAGTGAAAAGAGTAGACTTGTGCAAGTGGACAACAGAGAGAACTGGAGTATTGCAGGAGACGTGTGGCAAGATAGGCAAGAGACCATGGAAGAGACGAATGAGTCACCACGCTAGGTGTCGCTGAGAGAATCGTTAGAGTCCAGATGAAAGTGAGTGGGAGTGCAAGAATATGGATTGAATACATGACTACAGTAGCAGACGTGACAGAAGTAGTAGGAGACGTGACAGCAGCAGAAGGAGACGTGACAGCAGTAGTAGGAGATGTGACGACAGTAGTAGACGTGATAAAGGGAATATCGCCTACCTCCTACGAAGGGAAAGACCCCGAGCAGGTGACTTGCCTAGCTAGGCCGTGTCGGTGACAAGAAGGGCTGTAGCTCGATAGAAGCGTGGATGGAAGGAAAGCTTAGCGTGGAGAAGATGTAGGAGAAAAGTGTTGGGAGAAGAGTATTGGAGGTAAACAAAAGGAGAGCTTGCGCGCGTGCAAGTGGTTGCTATGTGCGTAGTCCATAGTCCGATGACATCGAGGACAAGGCTTTGTCAATCTACTCGTAGTTAAGTATTACGACCATGTTTACGAATTTCGTTCTTTTAATTCACATATGCATAAGATTGGATACGAGAAATAGAGCTGTGTGCGTCCTTCAAAATAGGTTATCTATGATGTACCTAAGTATGTGTCTACCAGCCCTTCAGGGCCGTAGAGTTGATATTGCCCAGTAGCTTAAGAATAAAGCTTAATGAGCTCACTGCGCATAGACACAGTCCAACATATGGCGTCGTTGAAGGACTACCATGCCACCCGACCAAATAATGCATGGACACCACTGGATGGACCTGATGGACGGATGATCCTGTGCCTCTTGGGCTGGTAAGTGATGGAATTCTTCTTGCCATAGCAATAATACGCACATCCTTTCTAGCAGGATCAAAGTGATAAACCTGGTTAGACAGCTTCGGCTTGGGGCGAATTCTTCGGCGCCACCTATCGTCATGGTTGTCAATGCCATGGAGAAAACGGACTGACGGCCGTAGAAGGTATCGAGCAGCAGCAAAATGTTGTACGGCGGAGTCATGGACCGCCAGTGTCGTTCATACCACTTCGCACCGCGGCGATGCTATTGTCGTGGTTGACACCGCCATTATCCAAAGATTCGCCTAAAGCTAGTTAAGGATCGGCATTGTCATTTGGAGGTTATATTCAAGCATATTCAAACTTAAAAGAAGCTTCTTCAAGGGATGTCAATAACTACATCCTCTTTGCTTTCACACTCTACGATAGGAACAGCCAGATCGAGTAATATCTAAGCTGCACGCACTGCCCAGGTGAGATTTCCCAAAGTTGCGCCTCTAAACGACAGCTTTAAAAACTGGCACATTTCTGTGGTCTCGGTGTTGAATGTGTGAGATCACTTTTGATGTCTCGTCTCACTTTATATCGCCTGATAATTCAGGCAACTATAATCTCCGACTTTCGGCCGATTTTCTCCCTTTCCTCTTATCTCTTCCCGAATAATACTGTGGATCTCTGATTTTGCATCGCCAAGGAGGGCAGACATCGAGGCTAACCTATTAAGTGAGATGTGAATGCGCAGGAAGCCCCAAGGAAGTCATGGGATCGGCCAACATTTGTCAACGCCATTTATTTGCACGGTTTGGTTTCAGGCCAAACTCGGGCCCCGCTTGACTGGACCAACGATGGAGAGGTTTGTTCAGATAATGCTCAATCTTCGAATGGGAACTTGGCAGTCGAAAAGGGCTTTTAGAGCCCAGACCACGTCTCGTTCGATCTTTCTCCGCGGTTCGCAATATCTGAAACCAACATGGGGTGTAAACGCCAAAGCCATATCATACAGCAAACGGCTCCGAGGGAGATATTGAAGGCAACCAACGGTGGCGCATATGGAAGAAAAATGCGCCGAAGCCCGCTACTCAGCAAATCCGCTACGATGGCTGTAATACAGGAGGGACCTGTGCGACTGGCACTGTGGATTTTTCGCTGGGGCTCCAGGGTCTAAAGGGTTTAACACGAGCCCAATGCCTAACGCCCAAGGATTTCAATGTGCTGAGTGATATTGGCTTGCTTCCGTCACACTTGACCCGTCCAGCCCTGTGCGGTTTAACCTTTTTGGGACGTGTTCGGCTACCTGCCAGGGGCAAAAGGGGCCTGAACGGAGATACAAGTACTTCTGCTCTGTTTGCTTTGGACCTTGTAGGGATTTTGGGGAGAATGGCCTTGAATCACCACGTCATGAAAAAAGTAGGGTTTAGTATTTAACTAGTTAGTACTTTAAAGATAGTGGATCTCGTATAGAAGCCGTTGTGTGTGATAAGAGGAATATTTAACGGGGTACTCCGTAGAAGTCTGAGATTGGTTCTATTCTTAGGATGACATTTGGGCTAAATGATGAGGAATGTCTTGCGTTATACGCATAAGGGTGTCTATGACTCGATTCTAATTGTATAATGTAGTAAACTTGGTTATTCTGTATAATATTGTAATATTTGAAGTAGTGTAGATGTAAGATATCCCATGTTCGTCCCATCTATCCCCAATCGATCTGTCAAACCGCCCCAGCCACCCGACTCCTTTTCCTAAGACTCCACGTGCTAAACATCAACCTCCTCTCTTCTCCATATTTCCTTCCAATCTTCCATTCCATCCATCTTCAAGAACCTTCGGGGACCCGGTTATTCTCCGCGGCCGTAATTCCCCTCAGGTCGTGAACTTGGTTGGTCAAAGAAAAGATCAAAAAAAACTCCTGCATCTGACCCCTCCTCGGCCCAATTTCAATCTGTCTCGTGTAGAGACAGAAATCTGCCCACCATGAATCAGGACAATTTCCCATTGAAATTCCGCCGAGCATCTAGCAAACTCCACAAGGACCCCCCTAGCTTCAGTTCGCGCATTCTTCGGAGTCATCAGAGCACCACATCATTGAAACGCACCCCCTCCGCCCCCGTTTATCCACGTTCCTCTCCCAGCGGCAGTCGCGAGCATAATCGATCGCGATCCAACGCCCAATTCCCAGGTTCTTCCTCGTCATCTCTGGATCAGAACAGTGGCGGTCCATCGCCTTCCAACGACGAATCAAGCGGCTTCTTCTCCAATTTGACCTCCCGGTCTCGCACCCGCAGTTCCAACCGTTTTTCCTACAACGAGCAGAGTTCGGATGAATTGAACGGCCCTTACGAAACGCGGGGCATGCTTAGTGCACTGGATGAGAATACCGCCGAGACTGATCCTCACTCCCAGCAAAAGCCCGCACTCCGCTCTCACCACACTAGCCCCGATACCCGCGGACGCCACTCACTCCGTCAGTCAGCTAGTTTCACCACTCTAACGCAACGAATGGATTCATTCGCTCATCGCGAGACAGAAAGGGCCCCAAACGCCGACAAACGGTATTCCCACGATGGCAATCCTCCGGCCGCTCCCCGAACGAGACAGAGCAAAAAGGCCAGCTTCTCCAGATTCGTGGACAGTATGCTTGGAACGCCCGGTCGCAATATGAAAATTTCAGCTCCAGAGAATCCAGTCCACGTTACCCACGTCGGCTACGACAATCAGACCGGCCAATTCACTGGTCTTCCCAAAGAATGGCAGCGACTACTACAGGAGAACGGTATCTCGAAGAAGGAGCAGGAGGAGCACCCACAGACTATGATGGATATCATGCGATTCTACGAAAAGAACACCCGTGGCGACAGCGATGATGAAGTTTGGCACAAATTCGACAACGCCCAAGCTGCTCAAGCTGCGCAAGCCACCAGCCCAAGAGAACAATCATCGCCACCAGGAAGTCCACGATTCCCGCAACATCACGAAAGCAGCTTCGAGAATCCGCGATCGCCCCCACCAATTCCTCGCGGGCCTCCGGCAGGCCCGCCGGTCATGTCTCCTCCACTGGGCGGTATGGTGCCCCATCGTGCTCCGCCGAAACCGCCCACCGGAATGACCCCCTCCCGCCCTCCTCCTCAACCTCCGGTCTCGAATTCGTACGGAGTCCCGCAGCGAACTCCTCAGGAGAATTATGCCCCTACATTTGGCACCCCGACTATTCCAGAATCCGAGCCATTGCCAGCATCGCCCCACCGCAGTCGCTCCAACTCCCGAAATGGCACCCCTGCACCCAGCGTCCCCAACGTTCCAAATGTCATTGCATCCCCTACACAGTACCAGCGGCAACAGGAGCAGGTCATGGCCGCGGCCCAGCAAACTTTGGAACGGAATCGCACCCAACGCCAGCAAGCACAACAGCCTCCGGCCATCTCCACGTCAACCACTGCTCCGGCACCAGATCTTTCGTCTGGCGTGTCACCCACCGCACGCGCTCCACCTGCTGCTAGACCTAGACAGCGCCAACAGCGCCAGAGCAGCGCCTTGGATATCCGGGCGCGCTTGATGTCAATCTGCCACCCTGGTGATCCCACGCAGATCTACTACAACTTCAACAAAATCGGCCAAGGTGCTTCGGGTGGTGTGTACACAGCGTATGAGCATCCTCACAACAACTGTGTTGCCATCAAACAGATGAATCTAGACCTGCAACCCAAGAAAGACTTGATTATCAATGAGATACTGGTCATGAAAGATAGCAAGCACAAGAACATCGTGAACTTCTTAGAGAGCTTCCTACATGGGCTCGATCTTTGGGTTGTGATGGAATACATGGAAGGCGGTAGTCTGACAGACGTGGTTACCTTCAACATTATGAGCGAAGGACAGATCGCAGCTGTTTGCCGAGAGGTTAGTACAGAATGGTTAATCCTGTGTCAAGATGAGATTATAATATGCTAACTATTTTCGACTAGACTCTGAGCGGTCTCCAGCATTTGCACTCCAAGGGTGTCATTCATCGAGATATCAAATCCGACAACATCCTGCTGGCAATGGATGGTAACATCA